AAATGACCCTTTTGAGCAATTAAGCTGTACTGCACAAAGCACGCTGCGAAGTACATGGCCAGCAGAGGTGGGAGAGCCCCAAATTAAAATTCACAGATTGCACTGGGAGAAACACTTAGCAATTAAACATCTTGGAGGTGGCGTCTGAAGTTCCTGCCATTAGCAGCAATGAAAAATGCTTTCATATGTTGCAGCGAGAAATATGGGCAGGCAACTGGGGCCAAAACCATTTTTTTTTACGTCTTGGCTTTAGCATGAGCTACCAAATAAAAAGGGTGGCCTCCTGTAATGCCCACTGACATCACTGGTCCTGTACTGCTGCCACTGTAAAATATTGCTGCTCCTGCTGTAGGACAGTAACTGAGGCACGCCGGAAGATATACTTCTCACATGGTGGAAGGCAACAGGCAATGACCTAAGAGATGACCAAATAAAATATGGAATGTGCAATAAGAATCTATTTCTGGTGTCATTTGCTCACACCCCTCGATTCCGTGCCGCAGAAGCGGCGCTGTCTTTGCGATGTGCCTTCCAAAGGCAGGCTTCAAGCTGACAGGGCTGTGCAACAGCAGCAGTGCCCTCAGTGCCGCCAGCCTGCCTGCCTCAGAAGGAAACCTCAGGGCTGGAACTTCCCAGCCCTCCCGTTGTTGTCTTATGGCAAAGTATGAGCTCAGGCTATCTGATCTACGAGACCGACGCCGTTCCTACCTGTGCCATTTGCAATCCTTCCTCACCCAAGATACGATAAAACACAGCATGCCCTGACACATAAGCCAGCTTCATCCTGAAGAAACAGGCTGGAAATTGCACAGCCTGTATTGTGTGGTGTACAGCACTAACATTTCCTATGCTTTTGGCTCAGTGCACCTGCAGTTTCCTTGGAGTACCAAGTTAAGAGAGTAAAACACTGGTGTACCTCTTGAACAGAGCACACAGGAAAGCCTCCCTCTATACAAGACAGGAGAGGCTGCTCACGGCTGTGGATGGCACAAGAACAAGCTCCACCTTGCTGAATACAGCTTTTATGACATCCTTTCCCAAACGGTGCACGCCAACAAGTCCGAACATCTTCAACAGCACTGGCCATTGCTGCAAGAACAAAACCCCTCACAGGCCTCAGTGCCTCTTATGGCACATCTTGTCCCTCACTTGGGATGCATGCTGGATTTCCTGGTACCCATGAAGGGCGAAGGGAGGATTCCAAACACCTGCCTGCTGTACATGAGAGCTGAGCTGTGAGCTTTGTGTTCTTCACAGGTTTCTAACAGATGACGCTGCTCCCCATGAAGTAATACAAACCAGCACGTGCATTTTGCTGAAGATCATATCGAACACCTGCTAAGTTAAATGGAAGAAACAGTGCAGGATTATGTAAAATACTGGCCAAACCTTGCTTACTTTAACATTCTTTGTGAAGACCAGAAGGATTTGGTCCAGAAGTATCAGATACGAGGATCAAAACCTGCTACTGACTACCTTAAAGCTGAGAAATATATTTTTCTATCAACCCACTTGAAGATTTATAATACATTAAGGAACATTAAGGAGAAGAAGAAAAGCTAAATGGGCCAAAAGCAAACAAAAGAAGCATGTTCTCTTGAGATTGCTAATGCTGGCAGACAATAGCACAGAAAGAACTCCTCTGACAGATCTTTGAAGTCTTCAATACAGCTTGCTACTGGTCCATGTTAATGAGATTTGCTCAAATACTTTTAAATTATTCCAAAATGTCTTAATCTATTTTCTAAATCTTTTTTACCCAGTTGCTTCAGAAAAATCACAGCTTCACCCACCTCTTTTTTTTCCTTACAAAAGGTGAGGTTTGAAACCAGTTGTGTTGCCCAAGGGACACACAGCCTTTCTGGGGAGGCTTACCAGAGAACACCCAGGTAACATTCTGATTTCTATTACCGCAGCTCACAGAAATGCTTTGCACCAGGCTGTGCTCTTCAGCTGAAGGAACTCGAAGGCCCTAACAATCAGGACATTTCAACTGCTCCCAACGTCAGCAAGTCAATGGAGCCGGTCTTTAGAGGTGCCCCAATGGCTGCAGCTACAGGACTGACATCCCCCCAGCTGCAGGCCTCACAAATCCCCATTTCCCTCTGGGTTTGAAGGCTGAGCGAAGGAGAATATAGGTAAATACATTGGAAGTTAGAGCTCAGACCCACAGATCTATCTGCTGACCATCTAATTTGGCACTGAGTTACAGAAAGCAGCTCCTGTACTATTTCTGATGTTCAATTAGCATTTAGCTCTGACAAGCATTAAGATTTGAAAGTTTAAACTAAGTGTAACTTTTCTAAATCCTTTGTGCTTGATTTTTTTCCCTGTTGAGGGTTTTCTAAAGGATTCTATCTTTGCAATCTTAAAGTCTGCATGTGTCTTTTGTTATCAATAATGTACAACTTTAGTAGCATGTTTTGTACCTTTCAATTTTTCAACACAAGCTATCCCTGATTTACAATGCTCGCTGAATGGTGTTTGATTATTGAAAATGCTTTCACATACTTTTAAACAAACGAATGCTCCTGGAAAACCAACACCATCGTCCACAATTCCGTAAAAATACATTTCCCCACCTTTCTCCCCAAATCAAACGCTTCAATTCAAATTCTTACTTTGAGGAACAACTGGCAGATAATTAGGCACGATGCCTAGCAGTGCTAAATAAAGGAGCACGTAAACCCCTAATTCCGAAGGTTTAACCATCAGAGCTGCATCTATTCAGTTTGAGTCTCTGCTCAGAGCTCTGTGGAGTCGACAGAAGACGAAACAGGGACCAAAGCACAGCATAACGCTGTCAGCATCCTGCTGCACACGGGGCCAGGCCTGCACTCTGCTCTGGGACACGCAGGGCCACGCGGCCGCCCCTCCAGGAGCACAGAGCCCTGCTCTGCACGCGCACCGAGCAGCTGAGCCACTAACTCAGAAGATGGGATTTCACCTGAAATTAAACTGTCGAGCAATTGAGCTCAAACTCAATCAACCAAACCCTTAACCTCCCCTGTTTCAGTGGCATGGCTCTAATTAGGACTCCATCACTATTTCCATTACTATCTCCTATTCTCATGGTTTATTATCTCGGCAGTTTCAATTTGACATCCAGTTTCTTAGACCACACATCACTCATTATGGCTTTATTTTATGAAACGTTTTGCAAGATCATGGACAGATCCTGGAGCATTTTGTTGTAAACAGCACCAGCAATGCAGCGGGAGCAGGGCAAATCCCCACCTTGTCACAGAAACGTGCCCTACCATTGAAGGATGCACAGAAAAACTCCATTTTTAAGTTGTGAATTTTGTTCTGCAGCTTACAAACATACTTGAAAGCATGTCCCACATCCGTACACCACAGTTACTCCATGGTGTTCTCTACAGTCCTCGACGACTTCCCACATCTTCTAGTTTGGCTGAACCCTGCATAGCAGCTCCTGGGTGAGACTCAACCTGTGCCACAGCCTGGAAGACAGGACAGCCCTCTGCAGTGAGATATTCTGCATGTCACCCAAACTGCTGACTGCACAACGATGCACGCCAGGTGCCAAATGCCTGGCATACGTCGTATCCTGATGGCAGGAACAGAAAATGTGCCTCCTTTTGGAGAAACAGGTTATAAAATTCAAGCCAGGCTGAAGAGGTAATGTTCTGCATTTATAACAACCAACATTCTTCATTTTCCCAGGTCAAATAGCACCTGGCCACACATCAACCATGGCTCCGTAAGAATGCCAACATTCTCAGCCAGTCTGGTGCATGGGCTCCTGCCATTAAAAAGAACAAGCAACTAGTAATATTCAAATATTGGAGAGAGGCATATATCATACAACTGACATACACCACGAGGACAGCCAAAGACTGCAATATTCGCTTGAACTTCATGAATTTCATTTCATCCTCAGTAAATATATATTTTTGGCAACAAAGAACTTAAAAAAAAAAAAAAAAAAAAAAAAAAAAAAGCAAAAACACATCGTCCTCAGATCTATTTTAATTTAAAGCAGAAGAGAACAGGGACATTTCTTCCCTCTTGAAGTACATTTTAATAGAATTAAAAATAAAAATAGCTCTAATTCACTCTGATGCATTTAGTCATTCTGCAAAATTCTAAGTTTAAAATGAAATCACCATTTTATATTCAAACAAGGTCAAGGGAACAGTACTAACGAGCACTGACATCACAGCGAGCAGCAGCCACTGCTCAGCGCTTACATCAGTGTTGCTTGTTGCTATGGTGCTTAACCGACTATTAATTTCTGAAAGAAGGTGATTATAAAGCAGCCATATGAACCTCAGTCAGATGACACCCTTCAGTACCAAACACTGATCTGCATCACTCCTGCCTTCTGCAAGTTAATTCTATGAATCACCACTTTTGTGATGTTAATAATTCCTTTCCAACTTGAAACTTTGGGCCAGAAGAGAAGCAAGGAGTTAATTCCGAAGGAAGGGACTTTCACATTGCTTTAAATAAAAATCATTTTGCACAGAGCAACAGCTAAATTCTGCTCTCCGCTGCACTGCTGCAAACCCAGCAGTGTGTCAGCTCAGGATGCCACAGCACTGAAGCTAACCGGGCCATTCTGCAGGGCCCCAGCCCAGCAAGACAACCAACCCCGCTGCGGGGCAGAGCTGCTGCGGCTCCCAGCCCCGCACTCATGAATGCTGGCCACGTGGCCACCAAGATCAACCAGAGCTGGGTCTTCCCATCCACACACAACTGCTCTCAGCCATCAGACAGCCCGCACAGCACATGGTGAGAAGCCAAAAAGGACATCCCTGGGGCCTTTCTCCTGGAATGCTGTTGGGCACCTAAACCATTGACTTCTCACGTCTGAGCCACAAAAGCTTCGTGCCAAGCCCAACCTCACAGCTCCTACCTGTGCTGCCACAGGAACTTCACTTGTGTCACTAAAGCACGTTCATGGGGTCTGTAGGTTCAGGTCCTCCATTCCAACATGTTCCAGAAACTACGCACAAGACAGTATTTGTATTTACCTTCTGCTGTTGCTCCTGTAACGCAATCTTCAGTTACAGCCACCCAAATAGGTCACTCTTCTTACCCTGCAAAAAGAAGGGAACACACATGACCGCCGTGTCCGTGCTGGCAACAACACCCAAAGCGTTTCACTGGCCCCGGCCTTGCAAGTACAAACATAAATAAAGCAACAAACGAATCTAATCGTGTTTAATGGTGAATGACTTTCAGAGAGAGTTAATAAAAACAATCAAGTCACAGGACTGCTGCTTATCGGTACCAGCCCGTGTGCGGCTCTTCAGTTCGGCAAGAACAACTTGGTCTTTGGGAGGAAAAAAAAGCAACAAAAAACCGTGGAGATGAGACATCTTTGTTCTCCAGCATAAACTTTCTTAATCTTGATGTCTATCAATCTATTTTCAGTTTGAATAATATATGAGTTCAGTCCTTTGTTTCAGAAATCTGACTATTGTCTGAATGAGTTCTCCTTGCTTAAGGCATTTTAAGACCGTTTGTAACCATGTCTATTTTAGCTTCTGGATCCTTTCCTTTTCCATCCTTTTCCATAGAGACACAGTCCTAGATAAGATTTTAAAACTAGCTGCATCCTCCACGCCCCATTCAGAAAGTTGTTTACTGTCCTGAGGTTTCTTCTGGTTAAGCATACCAAGAAAGCCAAGGTGGTGAGAACAGTGGGTATTAAAGGGAGAAATAATTAAAGAGTGTCTTTATAAAAAAGTAGGAGGGAGAAAACAGCACGTGCAGGGTTTTTTTTTACCCTGTATATTACTGCATCTTGTGTACTCTCTCTTATGCAAAAGAGTATGTAATCTTTTAAGAAACATGACAATCTGCCACTTTCTGTTCATGTAATTGGGATCAACATATGGTACAAGAGAAAAGAAAAACATTTGTTTATTAATTTAGATCGAGTTACTAACTCAAACCACTAACAGCACTCAGAATTAATTCAGCATCAATTGACCAAATACCTTAAAAGAGTAAAATTAGAACAATGTCACTGAAACACTGACCTGCTGCAGGGGTGCAGACTACCACAGTTTAATGAGGACAGAAAGAAGCGTGCAATAATTTGCCGACACAGATGACATCATACAAAATGGAAAGTCAGTGACATGTGGATGTGTAAGACAGAGCTACGTGAAACTCCATTTCATGAAATTCACACAGTGAGGTGGAGCTTTGGGGGTGTTACTGAAACTCGCCAAATGCTAAGTTATGCCGTTTCCATCAGGAGGTAAAGCTTTTGACTGAAGCAGCAGAATACCAACCTCTGGGAAAAATGAGAACCTCCATTAAATTATTTCTGAAGAAGATGTACTCGCTTGCCATTTATTCTGGAAGGAAAAACTGTTTTCCCAGTAAGAATAAGGCACTTTCTTTACCACTGACAATTACCAGATCTAGGCAGAAAAAAAAGGCTAGCTTGAGATGAAATTAGTATTGCTTTTATCTGCTGCTATTTCACCTCATTTTAATGAGAGAGAATTTCTTTTGCCAGTGCTTGTGACGAGATACCGGGAGATGCGGGCCACAACACGTACGTGTGTGATGGACAGGAAACACTGCATGCTTCACTGGGGTGCACACATCACACACAGATCCTGCACTCGAAAGGACACAGCACTGCTCCATCCTAATAGCTCAGGCCTCACCTTCCTGAGAGCATGTAAAACAATACATCTTTTATGTAAAATACATGACCTCTGACATACGATGTGCTCTTAGATTAACAACAATAGAGGCTTTTATCTTGCTTTGCTGCAGGGGTTATCTCGGATGCGAACCTTTAAACCCCTTTTCATATTTATCTATTTTATAAATTCCCTGGTATTTGGCAGTCAGATCTGTATTTTGGCAGTATTTTGCAAGCAGACTTCATTTCTACCCCAAGTCTTCATGAAAGCAAGAGAACCATCTTAAAATACACTTTTTAAGGAAACTGCTGAAAATGACATGTTTGCATAAAACGTGCACACAATAACCCTCTAAGTGGGGCTGCAGCAGGCAGGTAACTTTGTCCACGTGTGCTGGTTCCAGAGAAACAACACTGCAAGGCACACTCTGCACTGGGCCTCTGCTGCTGATGGGCAGGACGTGCTCCAGGACGGGACAGCGAGGGCTGGGCAGGGCTGCCACGCTGCCCACAGTGCAAGCACTGGCAGAGCTGGGGCTGCTTTCAGTCCTGGACATTTGTGCCATGCTACTACCTGTCAAAAATTTGGATAATGTACCACAGAAATTAAAATGAGCAGCAGGGACAGCTGTTCCCACCTGTGAAAATCTCTCATTAATAGTCTAAAAGCCGAATATCTCAAAACGTAGAAATACAAATACAGACTCTCCTCCTGAAAATGTTTATACGGGTGAGTGAATTGATGTAGGCAACACACATTCCTTCCATCATGCTGTCTTTAAGATAAACACCAAGTACCATCAACACTGTAAGTGTGTGTGTGGAGCAAACAAGGAAAAAATCCCAACCTACCCAAGCAAGACAGTTTGCTACACTCATACTTTCCCTCGAGGAGATGATTAAAATAGAAAAACAAACCACACACAAAAACCCACTTTGCGAGCAGCGGTGGCCGTATCGTCTCACAAGTCGAGGGAAGCTCTGCCAACACCTGCAACACGGCTCCGATGGCTTAACTGGGATCACACAGAGGGGACAGACCATGCTGAACTACTGGCTGCGTTCAGATTTTACAGACATCCCTGAAAACATGGAGTTCACATGCTGAGTGCCTCAGTTTGCCTATCAGCAAGATGAGTCAGTGCTTCTCTCAAGCATTCTGAAATCCCTGAGTATAGAAATACGTTTTATAAGAGCTGTTTTCAACAGGGTTTGGGAAAGGCAACCAGTAATGATGCTAAGATCACGACCTGAGCCACTGCCATGGCCTGCTCAGTTGACTTGAAGACAACAAACCCCTATTGCTCCAGATCCGGCCCTACGCATCTATTTGGTACCAGGGCACAAGACAAAGACAGAAGAGGCTTTGCCATTTTACCTGCTGCTGGGTCCCTCTGGCATTTCTGATCCCACCATACTTGCTCAGTTTAGTGGTCGCCTTTGTCAGGAGATAATCCTGGGAAAGCTGTGGGATGGAGTCCTAACACCAAGTGAGCACTGCAAAGCCAAATTTACTCCAAAATATGAAGAAAATAGAGATAACCAGCGTTATGGAATGAAGCTCTACTTAAAAGATTAATGTTTTTATTAATACCAAAATCAAATAACCTCGGGTATAGCCAGAAATTGATGAACAAAGATCTTGAATCCACACAAATTGGCTGTGAGTAATTTTACGCAGGAAAGTAGAGCATCAGTTGAACTGCTTCCCTGCTTAGCATTATTCACTTCTTTTTTTGCCAGTGTCCTGGCCCTCAGTAGCTTGCAAATCATTACTGGAAATCTAAACCAGAGAGGGAATCTCCCTGCCGTTACCTAGAAAGCACTCTTTTTATTCAAAATAGACAGAGAACACACACACGACAGTACAACAAAAACTGTTTCTGAATTTTGGTTTCCATTAACTTCTCTTATATAAGATTGGCTGAACTATATTTAATGTGTCTGGTTCTGTGATTTTGTGAATAAAATATTAACTACAGGTTTTCCTGAAAGCTTTAAAATAACAGAACTTGATAAGTAATATAAGTGCCTTCGTAACTCATCTAAACACAGCGAGCCACCTAACACAGCTACTGCTTCCCTTCAAACTGCCCAGGTCTCACACAGCTGTAGCAGCCTGAAAGATGCCCTGCTATTGCCAGTACTACTATTTTGTCATCCGGGAGGGGAATCAGTGCAGCCAATGACTTTGTTGACTACAGATACGCAAAAGAAAAAAAAAAAAAAAATTTGCTTTTTTATTTGGTATTTTGTTAACCCTGAGACTACACCTACAGAGTGCTGGCAAAGAGCAGCAGGCGTGCTGTGGGCAAGGTGCTGCACACAGCTCTCCTAGCCTTGCACCAGCACACAAACCATGTGCAGCACTGCTCTGGAGATGTTCAGAATAAGGCCCTTCAGTTTTACCATGCTTGGTTTTTTTGTGGTTTTTTTTTTTTTTGAGGCGTCAAGCAACCAAATACGCACACACACACACACACACATATATATATAATACTGAAGGGAAAAAGAATTCTGCCCTCTGTCAAGGCAGCTGCTTGTTACTGCGTAGTTTCTATTAAATATCATGGGATTTTCTTTATCAGGAGTCATTATCGCCTCCTCAGAAAGTGAAATGCAGGTGAGCAGCACAACTGCAGGGGCCGAGAGCTGCTCTGCCACCTCGCTGTGAGCAGCGCCGGGCAGCAGCTCGCTGCCTGTCGGGGAAGGGTGAGCACGTCAGGCCGTGCTTCATTTCCAGACATCAGAAGGCTGGGCAGAATCTCCGCCCGGTGCTTTTAGTTTATTCTGAACAGAAATAAAGCAAAAAATAAACAGCAGCACGAGGACAAAGCTACGCGCGGCACATTTTCTCTTCCCACAGAATATTACCTTTCGTGTCCACTGTAACCTTGGGAAAGAATCACTTGACGTGAGCCAACGCTACCAAAGCGATCGCAAGCCATTCCTCCCCGCTCGGCAGCGGCTCGCACGGAGCCGTGGGCAGCGCACGACTCGAGCTCGGCTCGGCAGCCCGCGGCGCACGGAGGGACCCGGCGTGCCCGCAGCCCGGCCGAGCGCTCCCCATCTCCCTGTTCCTTAAAATAACTCCGTGCCTGAACGCCGGCCTTAACCGTTTTATGTCTAGACTTCTCCTCCGGAAACTTGGCCTCGTGTGAGCGAGGAGCGGCGGGAGCGGCTGCGGGGCGAGCGCAGAGCCGCGGGTGCAGAGCGGGCAGTGCGAGCGCTGCTCAGAGCCTGACAGAAATTAAAAATTAAAAAAATAATAAAGAAAAGAATAGGGGGTGGGGGGAGCGGCGCGCAGTTACTTCTCGAGACTCGCACAGCGGTCCCGCAGCTCCGGCGCACGGCCGCAGCTCCGACGAAGCGCCGCCGCCTCCCGCCGCGCCCCCGCGCTCACCCCGCTCCCGCCCAGCCCGCAGCGCC